GGGGAAAAACAAAAAGTATAATTGTACCCTACACACATTGTTAGTCAAATCTACATATCGTATGCTGAGACCTAGACTGAACCTAAAAGATAGAGTGGAGACAAGATGGATGAAGCATCTAAATGTGGGTAAAGACTCTCTGAGGAACATCAAATGGTTCAAAAGTATCAAGTCTAGACCTGTCAAAGTAGCATCATTGTAATGGCAAATAGAGCATCGTTGTCTCCCCACAAATGAGTGGATTATTGATAGAACTTCTCTTGAAATAAGAGGGTTGGTTTCTCCCTGGTGTAAGTCCTGCACCTCAGCATTCCCTTCAAGAAAAATTCCAGAGACAATTGAGCATATTTTTCTACAATGCCAAGAGTCGATATGGCTATAGCGCTGGTGGGACAGGATATGGAGTAACTTAGAAACTTCCCACAACGAGAGAAGGTTAACAACAGTTGTATTTTTCATCACCACTTCAGGACTCCCTTCACCACTTTAGGATGCAACCAGCCTGCATAAACAGGTGGTTTTCAGGGTCTTCGGACCTCTCACCACTTCAGAACCATTCATGTCTGAAAATCCTGAATGGTCCTGAAGTGGTGAAAGCTCCGAAGACCCTGAAAACCACCTGTTTAGGCAGACTGCTTCCTGAAGTGGTGAAGGGTGGTTTTCATGGTCTTCGGACCTTTCACCACTTCAGGACCATTCAGGATTTTCAGACTGCCCAAAACTCTCACTTCAGAATTTTCATTCCTGAATTTTCAGCTACCTGATAACCGCTTGTGCCCACAGCTGGCCCTGAGAATGGAAGGCTTTGCTATGTGAGACTTGGGGAAAAAAACAAGCAGATAATTTTACTCACAACCTTTTTATCACTGGAAGAAGAGCACTCACTCATGTGGGCCATTTGGCGTAGGAGATGTACGTTTGAAATGGAGGGAGCAAGACTGGATGGTCCAAAATTCACTGATTCCATTAAACAACAGATACAAACAGAGATCACAGCTCAATGGGGAAAGGTAAAAGAAAAAGTTATTTTTTTGTCATCAAGGAAATAAATTATTCAACACTTTCAAAACTTTGGTGGCGACTGGCTAGGGGACCCACAAGGGGGAAGAATTGGCAAGATGATGTGGGGAAGGGTCAGCAATGAACAACAAACAGATCACCAAGAGGAACTTCGAAGGGACTATCGCATTGTTTTTCATGAATGGACAAAAATAGATAACATTATCCCTCTTCGCCTGTTGGCTGACTTCCCTGACCCTTTCCCTCCACCGACACAGACTTTAGTGTCTAACAGTTGGTATGGTAATCCTTAAAGAAAGGAATTCAGATTCTGCAGTAACTCTCCCAAAACCTTATAGGTTGCTATGGAGCTGCTAGAAATGTACTGAGAGCTCTGGCGCTCAGTTATTGAGTGAAGAGGCAGTTGATAACAATAGGAGCCACAAACATTACATTCTGGAGGTTACAGTCGGATCATCCAGTGGCTCATGTTCATCTCATTCTAGGTTTTTCCCAATATTCAAATCATATGTAAGGGACGCTGGACCCATTTTCCAACTTAAAAAAAAAAGAAAAAAAAAAAGGAGATCGATGTCCCACAGGTTGTGGTAGTCTGTAAGGGATTGGAAAGCTAAATCCCACCACCTCCACAATTGGGTGACCATCAGACACGCCAGCAGACAATGCTCCAGTATTGCCGGAGCCGGAGGCGATGAGCTGCCACAATAAGTGCAAATGGCTGACAACAACCTCTTTTGTTCAAGGTTTGTTCTTGATACTAGCCACTCTAGAGTGCGCAAGCAGCGGTGGAGGATTTGCCATTGCAGGGCTCTGAGATTCGTAGGCATGATCTTGGAGTAATTGGCCCAAGGTAAACTCTCCATCAACTGTAAGTCCATATGTGAGTCACGCGCCCATCTGTTAGATAGTGTGTGGTCGATTGCCACTAGTGGGCTGGGGGCTTTGTATCCCCCTTTGACAGAATAATCCCATATGTGCATTGGTTTCGGCCCAGGCCACTCCCATTCCCCCGGGTTGAAAGGTAGTCTGGCAAGCGGCGTTGTGGGCTCGTACACAAGGAAGCCTTCCTGGTGGTCCCCTACCACACATATGCGGATGAGGCCCGCCCAACTTTCATTGCCATCCAAGTCTTCGTTTCGTGCAAGTTTGGAAAGTCTGGCTCCTGGCAAATCCGGCTCATAGGCCTCCAGTGAACACAACCCGTTTTTGTTTTGTTGGACTCTGAATATTGTGAGTGGGAGGGACAGGTTTGCATGCCTAACCACCCAGTCATCCTGGCGAACTGTGGGGCCCTCCTTGAGGGCTAGTCCCTAGGTTAAGGGGAGAGCTTCCCTTAGTTTGGCAGCTTTGTCTTCCACATTTTGACATATTTCAGCTTGAGTTGTAGCTGATCAGCCGTGGCCCAATCACTTTTGCACGGGGCCCAGAGGTCTCCCACCGTGAAGATGCCTTTTTCTGCCCAGGTAAGCCACAGTGAGTTTGTTGATAACGAGAAAAAATTACCATCCTCGTCCAGTACGTAGGGATTGTCAAAGAGTGGTTGCCTCCATATATTATGCCATCTGTTGGGGGCCTGTTTTTGTTGTGGACCACGAGTCCTCTAGAGTTTAAGCATATAGGGCCATAGGGGGTCCAAGAGCAAGTCCATCCTTGCTGCTTGTGTCGGGGTATCTGCCTGCACTTGTCGCGAAGGGGTGGGTATCGACCAATGCTTGTTTGTCAGCCACCAGAAAGGGTGCAGAGTGTTAACTGTTAGCGATTCTGGGGTCAGGTTGGCAATCTGCAGGCAAGCCAGGGGTGCCCATGGAAAGTTGTTCCACATGAGTAGTCTAGTGAGGACCTTGAAGATTAAGGTTTCGCTCTCCCTTTCTGGATCCAATATTCCCATCCCCATTTTGGACCTTGGTTGGGTGAGGGTTTCCCAACTCACTCGGTGTACGCATCCTTGGTCCTTGGCGTTATTCTTCCATAGATACGTGGCTAGTGCTTTTCTCAACCTGGTGTATTGTTTGGGCTTCAGCGGCCAGACAACCAGTTTGTGCCAGATAGCCGCTAATACTGCATTATTCATTGTCATGGCCCGCCCCCCCATTTGCCAGTCGATCCATTGCCATGTTGACTAACATATCCCCGTGGTCCTGTGGGGGTCCCAGCGTAGTAAGTCTCACCTCGAGGATTCTGATGGCATCTTCTCTCCGTGCCCATCCGATCGTCGGATAAAGGGGCGGGGGTTCTCCCTGAGGGTGAAGCCACCATCCTTCTCTTTTTGAGCCCCAGTGGAGAGGTCGACAAGCTGCTGGTGAGTGATCCAAGTGAAGTGCATTCTTGTTTTTCGGCTTCTGATAGCCGGGTCACATATCAACAAGACCGGGATAATCCCTTTAGGGAAGGATAGGGAGTTTGGCATCACCGCTCCCAAAACATCCTTAACCCCGGTCTCTCGCGGTCGCTTAAGAATGACTGCAGTGGAGGAGTTGCCCCTCCACGCTTCCATCGTGAAGCCGTCATGGGGCGCCACCTTTCCTAGAGACGCAACTTGCTGAACTGTCTGTGTCATGGAGCTGAATCCGAGCATCCAGTTCCCACCCTCTATTCCCCGCACTATTGGAAAGATGATAACCCCAGAAGGTACGGCCACCAAGTCGCTGTTGTCTGCTTCGAGCTTCACCAGTTCCCGGAGTTTTGTGGGAGGGTCCTCTGGTACACAGTCGTCCTT